ATGTGTAGGAAGTAGAGTTCCCACAAGCGCTGCGTAGGCACTAATTGGATCACATTGGTTGTTTTGGGAATTTGCAACCTCTTCCTCTTCCCCTCACCCCCTACCCTCCCACCCTATTTGTGGTGCCTGTGGCCTTTAATGCAGACAACTGGCCTCTGCGGACCTTCCCTTCACCTTCCCGGTGGATGCAGCAGCGGAAGAACCCAACAGAAAGAACTGTAAATACTTCCCAGGCAACGGGACACAGCTGAAGACTGGAGAAGGAGGCAATGCAAACTTTGGAGAGAAGACCAGAGACAAGGAGAGATGGTCATTGGCAGCAGATGCTGAGTGGCTGAAGATGACTTTGAAGAGTGATGCTGACTGTAGAAGAAATGCAGGTGGATTAGATGATGCTCCATTGCCTCCTAGAGAACGGCCTGTTGGCACTGAAACCTGGGTGAGTCTTAATGACTTGGGGTTCTTCCTCAAACCTGCTACCAGGGACTTGAGGGTTTCTGACTCTCTTCCCATCTAACTCCAGCTCCTTAGGCTTATAGTGCAGGGGTCCAGTGCCTAAACCAAAGCCCAGTCTGCAACTGGGCTTTTCAAAACTGCATCCCTTTCTTGCATTGTAGCTCCAGGCACTGGAACCAGCCAGCCGTTCCCCAGACCGCATCTTTAAAGTGGTGTTTGTAGGGAACTCCGGCGTTGGGAAGAGTTCCTTCATTCACCGCTTCTGCTATGACAGGTTCTTGGCTGAGCTCAATGCAACCATCGGTAAGTAGTAGGGTTCCTGACTCATCTGGCTAAGACATGTGGGAAGGTCAGCCTGGGCACATGCTTTTTGCCCGTATTTTAGCCCAACTAAGGGTAAAGATGGTCTCTCTCTCCCAGTTTCAAATCAATCTTGCAATTTCCCTGAACTAAATACTGTTGATCTTGGCCATTGCAATGGCAAGCTGCCCTCTCCCTATCCTATCTTATGATTGTTGTTACCTTCCTGACAGGTATCGATTACCAGGTGAAGAGTCTGATGGTGGATAACACCCAGGTTGTCTTACAGCTGTGGGATACAGCTGGACAAGAAAGGTAAGCAATTTCCGTGAGGATGCCCTACTGCCGTGTAGGAAACAGGAGGAAA